GACGGACTGACTGACGGACGGACGGACAGGGCAAAAACAATATGTCTCCCCCCGAGGTGGGGGAGACATAATTATTATGACAATTATTTGATTCTTTTGTAGGTTCAATCATATCATATGCATATGAGAGTATGGGGTTATAGCAAATCAAAAGATAATTGAGCGTGTTCACTTGAAGTATTGTAAAAGAATTGAAGTATTGTAAAAGAATTTTAAATGTAAGAGCCAATACAAGCAATGTTCGTATATACGGCGAACTCGGCCGTTACCCATTGTGTATAAATCGATACGTAAGAATAATTAAGTTTTGGTGCTGTAATTTTACGGAAAACATATGAATTAAGTTTATCTGATTGTTATATAGGTAAAAACTTGGTATCAAATGTTAAAGAAATGCTAGTTATACATTGTATATGGTTTATCCGAATACTTTTTTGAAAATAATATCGTAGATAGTAAATTATTTCCAAAAATATTTAAACAAAGAGTAATTGATTATTATATACAAATATGGCATTCATCTGTAGAAAATAATTCTGTTTTAGAACTTGATAAAAATTGTAAAGAATTATATTCATACGAAAACTATCTTAACATATTACCAAAGGATCTTAGATTTTACATCACAAGAATAAGAATGTTTGCACATACACTAAGAGTACAAACGGGTAGATAGGGTCAAAATAGAATCCCATGCAAGGAGTGAAAGATATTGTTTATGTTGTAATACTATAGATTTAGAAGACGAATACCATTTTGTTTTGATATGTCCATGCTATGTTGACATAAGGAAAAAAAAATATGTGAAACGATATTATTACAAATGTCCGTCAATGTGTAAATTTTGGACTGATTTTTCTAATAATAAAATTAAACCACAAAATTTAGAAAATTTTTGGAAAATCGTTAAAAAAAGGAAAAATTAAATTGTTTACTAAAAAACCCTAAAAAAAATTTTTTGATTTTTTTGTTAAAAATTTTTAAAACTAAAATTCAAATTGATTTGTTGTATTTTGCGTAAAAAATTTTTTTTAAAAATGGAAATAGTTTCCCCTTTTAAATTCCATTTTTTTTTCCATTCTCCAGTTTTAAACATAAAATTCAAAAATATATATTAAACCCTATATTTTTTGTTAAAAAAGAAGGGGGAATTTTTTCAAAATTTTGTGAAATTTATATTGAAAGTGAGGGTTTTGCATTTTGAAACAAATCCAAAATAAAATTTTTTTCTGTTCTTTTTTTTAAAAGTTTTATTCTTATTTTTAAAACTATTTTTATTCTTTTCATTTTTAAAAATTTTTTGGAAAAGTCTAAATAATGTAATGTCAAAATGGCAATAGATTTCACTTATCAAAATGGTTTTAAAAACACAAAATTTACTTAAATACTAAGATGACATATTCAAAGAGAAAATTAAAATGAGGTGTTAACAGACCAGACTTTCAAAATTGCATTTGATATAGATTTTAATCATATCTTTTCCGATTCTAAACCATTTTATTCTTAATATTATAACATAATAAATTTGCTCCAATTGTTTTCTTTTAAATGTTGTGTAGCTTGATAATCTACCCTCACGATACCAGTGCCAGTTGTATGTATGTTTTAAGTAATGTTTTGCATGTTGTTGTCAGCATTTATAGAACAGTTGTTGTATAATTAGTTAGAAGATGGATAGACACCTGACTTCTACACAAGGGGTAATGGGATGTGAGAGAAAAATGGCTTTTTACGTAGATATATCTTATTGAATGAATGAAAACAAAACAATTGGGTGTCTTTCAGGTTTGTTAATACAACAGAAAATTGATATATCAACACAAAATATACATTATTGTTTTACAGCATGGTTATAATAAATGCACATACAAAAGAGTTTGCTCATACCAACATTTTCTCAGGCGTAAATCAAAGAAAACCCCTCTATATTTTTAATACACAGTTGGTGTACCAGATTCAATTTTGTGCGCTACTGCATATATAACTGTTCTAAAGGGAATTCACATGTCAGATAATAGATTCCAAAACCCAGACAGGACTCATACCTACATCGTTAATGGTGCCCTCACACATAAACCATGACCTTACTGCGACCTGAAAACTAGTAAAATAGCATTTTTCTTTCGAAAATCGTTGGTTTTTCTTTCAAATTTCTCTCGCAGACGGTCCGGGGCTCTGCAGTCTTGTGTTCAGTACGTTTTCTCTATGTTTCAATACGACCTTTCTACGTCCATGGCGTTTCCACTGCGCACCTGTAATTGGGGTCCCCAAAGGCGACCAACGGCGATCATCGGGACCAGCTGCGGACTGTGGCTATTTCTCTGCGTCCTTTTACGGCGAATTACGACGAAATATTGCGTTTGTCCGGAGACCGTCCTGCGACTGTACGACGACCCTACTTACCGTTTTTGGGGCTACGTCTTAAAAAACAATACTTTTTACAGTTTAAATTTCAATTTGAGTTGACCTTTTAACGGCGGTCCTAGTCGGTGTAACTACGTCTATTGGCATTCTTATTGCGTCCTTATACGATGCTTGCTGGACTAAATGGCGACTCCACGGCGATTCCAACGGCGACCAAACCAGGATCGCAAAGAAACGCAGAGTTTCTGCGATGTTTTGTGGGCATGTTAAAATAGTCGCCGACGGTTGGACCTTGTGGTCCTTGGGGTTCCTCGTGACCTCGCTGTCGGTCCCTGCTGCGCCATGGCGACTGTGGCTTCGTTCTGGGTTTGTGAAGGGTCGCGTAAGGAAACTGTAAGGGTGCGGGTATGGTGGGGGCATTTTAAACTGTAAGAAGGCAAGTGTTTTGAAAGTCCGTGACCAAAACTTTCAATTTAGTTATCTGTATGAAAGTGGTAGGGGCCGTTTTTTGTTCAGTTTTCCCTATTATATGGCCCATTATGATGTTTTAAGTTAGCGTTTTTTCAGCGTAGGCCAATTTAACACTTTTAAATTTGTTATAACATTCATGAAACAATTTTTCTAAAGAAGAAATAGCACGTTTTTGCTGAGGCTAAACGTCCCTCATTAATGTATGAATTTTTATAGGATAATTCAAATATAAATCTAAAAGCACAATCCTATCTTGCTTTTCATAGTACCTACATTTTCAGTTTGACATAAAATTGTTTTATTTTAAAAGCAGAATGCAAAGTTCGCATTTTTTATTTATCATATTATGTTGTAACAATTTTACAGATGCGAAACAATGTGTCTCTGTGAAAAAGGCAGGCTAAAGGTTTCAACAGCACCGGCCGAAAAAGTGGAGATATAATTTCAGCATTGAACAAGGGCAGGGCAATATGTATATATACATGTGTAGCGTTGTCAGACTATATGGATAGTCGGGCCTCGGTGACAAAAATAATGAAATAACATCGTGTTTTTTCAGTGTCTTAACATTCAGAAGATTCATTTTATTTTAAAATGTCTTTTTACAATATTTTTTTACAAAACTTCCATGGTAAAGTAAGTGCAATTTGGCATTGGTAAGATATTTACTTGAAGGATTGATTTTCAGAAAAAGAAATGCAAATACAATGTATATTATAAATAATAATTATTTGTGTAAGATGTATTGCAATTTTGAATTATAATATGAATTCAGATAGATTCATACAACTTTAATCTTGGTAGAGCTAATTTGTAAGAATATTTAAATGGAATCTGACTTAAAGTAAAAAAAAAATTATCATTAGTGGGTGGGTAATGTTTATACCAGTCTAAATGATGATGTATAGATTATGCAGTGTGTTGCGACTTTTTGAATGTAATCAACATTGGTTGGAAGTGTTTTGGATTAAATAAAGCATGTTTGTGTATTAATGTTTTACTTTGTTAATGACCAAATTTTCGTAGAATATCTGGGTTATTTAATTTTTCTAATTGAAAACACATGATTTCAAAACATGACATTTTTAGCATTTTATACTTCGAATTTTTTTGAGGACTTTTTTCCTGTAGCTACACATATATAGTAGATAATAAATATGCAAATATCTTTTCTGAAGGAATTTGTTTGAGGTTGGGTCTTATTTTTGGCTAAAATGCCTAGCCTATTTAGACATATTCATAGTTCAAAATTTCTCTTGACATGTGAAATATTTGGCAATGTACCATGCATAAAAAATTAAACCAGCCTGCAAAATTAAAAAAAATAGTTTGCCAAATTTAAACTTTTGGAAAAAAAATCCATCTTTTATGAAAAGTTTTTCCATTTTTTTCTTTAAATTCCAAAGAATTCCTATTTTTTCCTTAAAAATTTTTTGTAATTTCAACAATTTTTAATGGTTAATGTCTGGGAAAATCATTTTAATCTAATTGTTTAAGGGCCACATTTTTTGCAAAATTTCTGAATAATTAAATTTCCCATTGTTTAAATCACTCTAAAACACGTAAACTTGTTACTAAAAGTTGTAAACTTTACACATGACCGCCATGTTAAAAGCTGCGTTATGGGATATTTCTGTCTGCATTCGCAAACCTGTGATTTAAGTGAGGTAGAGTTTGCTACCATTGCCTAGTATAAAAGCAGCGAATTTTTTGTCACAAAAAATATTTAAAATTTTTTAAAAAACTCTTAAGTGTAGGCTTCCGTTAATAATTCTGCTAAAATTAATTCAAAACTAAAGTTTAAATAGTTTTTCAAATAAATTTATATATAATTAATTAAAAATTAACTAAGTTAAAATTCAAAGCCAAGATAATAATTTTTTTATATAAATTTAATATTAAAAATTTTATGTAACTTTAACAGTCAAACACTTTTAAATAAGTATTTTAAAAAATAATTTACTACACTGCTATTTATTATAGTAAATCTAGTAACTGTTGTCATTTGGGTAAAATTATTGTGCAAAATTATTTCAAAATATTTTCAGCGGTTCAAAATGTATAACACGAAATTGTTACAGACTGACAGACCGCCAGACAGATGGAGGCATGATTCCTATAATCTCCACTCTGCTTTGCAGAAGGGAGTTAAAAGTCAATCTCTGCATGGATGATCATTTTTATTCCAAGAATAAAGCCGCAATTAGTATTAAGTCTGACTTACCAATTGACGTGTCACCAAAATAATCCAAGAAGTCATTCTCTGAATTCCAACAAGAGCATTTTCTTCCTTTATCGGATGCATTCTTATCCATGATAAAACTTTTTGACACTGACAGCTTTGAGAAGTAATGAGTAGCCAGTCTTATCATCACTTGTGTCTCATTCTCATCACTGTGATTTGCTATTAGACACTCCTGAGACTCTGGAATGCAAAAAGATACAACTATTACCCTGTTTATTTGCTGAAAACTATATTTACTGAGGATGTGACTTTGCCCCGTTTGCGCTACATAAATTCAAAATGGCACGACAAAAATTGTGTTATGGTTAGTGATTTTTCTCACTTAATTGGGAAGAGGCTTGATTTTGGGAACAATTATTGCTATAATTGCTAATTTGGGAAGAAAAAAAGCAGATTTAAGTTCAGATTTTTAGGAAAACTGCATGATTTTAAAGAAAATTTCAATTGGGAAAAGGCCTTTGTTCGGAGTCTGTTATATAAACAGGAAAAATCACTGAAGGCGTAAAAAAAATTGTTCGTTTCCAGTGTTCTGATATTTTGAATGTGGAGCCTAAACTTTTTGAGGAAAACAGGCCGCATTTTTGTCTGACGCAGCATAATAAACTTTGTGCCGCATAAAAATATTTCCGTCAAATACACTCCATAATAATGGGATCCAAGATGACAGAAATCGGAAGGTACTGGTAAAAACAAGAACGTGTTTGTAAACACAAATGCCCCTGGGTCAGATTCTTGTCAGTAACAATATTTCAAAACCTATTTACCCATTCACTCAGTTAAGGACAGAAAATAGTAAAAACTAGAACTTCGCGAGTCTGATGTGTCGCCTTGTTGATATAAAAGCTTTCAAATAGGCATTCTTATCTGAAGTACATGTATATAGGTTATTTATAAACCATGTTTTTTCTATGTACATGTATTTTTAACTTTATTGACATTTGAACTCTGTATTATCAGAAATAAATATACCACATGTGTAAAAGCTTAGATGGAGGAGTCTGTGATGGGTAATTTCACAATCCTTATGTAAAGGACAGATTTACTGTGGTTGTTTTTAATTATTATACATATCATGAACAAGAGCTGTCACCCAAGTGACGAATGCCCCTGAAAATATTTCTTAAGCATGCAGGTATGAAAAGAAAAGAGAATGAAAGTAACTAATTGATGAATATTGTTCTTTGTATTATTGTACCTGTAATCTCTAATTGTGATAGCATGAACCTTCAAAATATAAGTGTGACCTTGGCCTTTGAAGAAGGTACGTGGTTCCTGGACATGACAAAATGTTGTTATGAGATAGACATTTGTGCCAAATTATTTCAAAATCCCTCAATGCAAGAAAAAGTTAAATACTGGGCATGATTGTTGTGTAATTTGGGACACATGGACATGAGCCTTAGCCGTGTCTTGATGTGGTAGACATTTGTGCAAAGTTATTTTATAAATCCTTCCATGCATGACAAAGTAACAGTCCCAACATGAATGTGTATCTTCAAACTCTTCTAGAGTACCTTCAAACTATAAGTGTGACCTTGACCTTGAAGATAGGGACTTGGGTCTTTGTAGCCACACATTGTCTTGATGTGGTCGACTTTTATGCCTAGTTATTTTAAAATCCTTTGATACATGACAAAGTTACAGCCCGGACACAAATGTGTGTACCTATAAACTAATGTAAATTTGAATATAGAAATCAACTCCAGTTTCAATTAAAAAATGTCATTATTTTTTTTTAAACATAATACCACGTTTCGACTCAAATGTCTTCATCAGGTATACTTTGTTAACAGGAAATGACGTCAACGTCATATGACGTCTAAGGACAACAATGTCAAAATGTATTACATAATTTGGTGTATAATTTGTACCTATAAACTCTAATTGTGATAAAGTGAACTTCAAAATGGTAGTGTGACCTTGACCTTTGAGGTAGGAACGTGACTATTGGACGCTACATACCATCTTGATGTTGTAGACATTTTTGCCAAGTTATTTTAAAATCCTTACATGCATGACAAAGTTACAGCCCAGACACGATTTTGATAGTGTGACCTTGACCTTTGAGGAGGGACGTAATTCTTGGACGCGACACATCGTCTTAATGTAGTTGACATTTATGCCTAGTTATTTTAAAATCATTCAATGCATGACAAAGTTACAGTTCTCACACGAATGTGTGTACCTATTTACTCTAATTGCAATAATGTGAAACTTCAAAATGATAGTGTGACCTTGACCACAACCACTTTTCAATCATCCCTAGAAATTCTTTATTTTTGACCTTATTTGTCATGTAACCAAACTGTAAGCACATCTTGTATTTACCTTGACTACATTTATCAGCAGCAATGTCAATTATGGTGTTAAAAAAGAAAATAACAGTATTTTAGTTCAAAATATGTAAAATGTGTGTTTTCCACTAATCCTTTATTTACCCAGTTACAAATCACAATAATTTTCTAAAAATAATTGATTTACAGACTCAGTATTTTGTTAGTCTGCAGAAATAGATATTAAGTTGGACAACTGTTGCAATATCATTAAGTCATAATGTATACTGCACTTCAAAAGCTATAATTTTAATATGTACATATTTTACTATACAATTCTTAATTGGAAGGTAATACGTCAGTAAAGTTACAGTCACTTAACCAAGGAAAAGCATTCTCTGATAACTTTTCAGAAAGCAGTCACTAGAATGGGGTCAAATAGACCCTAAGACCTTAAAAAATTCAAAAGAACAGGCTTTTTCTGTTATGCACATTGAGATGTACATCCATACCCCAATTGTGACAGCTTTACTACTGCAATAGATATCTGTTAGCTGATCGGAAAGAGGCAGTACGGGGATATCAAGATTGAACAAGAGCCACCGCCGGGCGGGGGCAACGCCCGACTTTTTACTTTTTCTAAACGCAAACATAGAAAGGTTTGAACATATATTGATGTTTCCTTTTTACATGGGTGCAAGTTAAAAATTTTGAAAAACCTGAACTATTTGTTTGGGGTCCAGGGGGCCGCCAGGGCCCCCGGTGGGTCCAGGGCAACGCCCGGCTAGGGGTCCAGGGGGCCGGAGGCCCCCGGAAGCTCCTGCATTATAGCTAATTTGAAGGCCTAAAATGCAATTCCCTTGAATGATTACATGCCAGATAACATACATACTGTAGTATAGTATTTTCACTTAAATATTGCTCACATAATTATTTTTTTCTTTTCTCTCTCTTTTTCTTAATTATATAAACAAAAACATTTCAACACAAAAAGAAATGTGCATTCATATATTGGTTCCATTATTTAATATTGTGGTTCAAACAGTAAAGAGTGATAAAACAAACCAATATATAAATAAATTGAAAATTGAGTTGATTTGTACCGAGTTTACGTTTTAATTAGGGCTGAGCTGACCCTGATTCCATACAAACAATAAATTGTTTTCAAAAAAGATAATTAAAACAAGCCTGGTTATGTTTCACAGTAAGTTTGTTTTTCATATGGTTTGGATCGTCTGCGTGCATTTAATTCTTTTTTCCCCTGGATCCATACTTGATGGATTTTCTACCAGAGACATAGATCTATGTCTCTGTTTCTACAGTGCAGAAAGCTACGCCGGGAACGTCTGGCTTTTCCAGCCAGTTTCCGTAGTTATCCCCGTTTCGATCACATACAAACAACCATTCCCATCTCCATTTATTTTTATGAGGTCTTCTCGATATCTTTTGTATTAAATCCTTCGTGTAGAAACTTCATTTTGACTAACAAATTGTACAATTACTTTCTGTTTACATATTACTCTGTAGCCGAATCGGTAACGAAGCCGCTTTTTTATTGGATGATTATAATTAGCGCGCCAATCTAAATCGTTGTAATAAATTCACGGATAAAATTGCATGCCGGGATTAATAATACATGTTTTCGTAAACATCTCGTATATCTTCGGAAACTATCGGCAGTTTCCGCGAAAGTTTACTATTGACGCTTCGAGAACAACCGTGAGCATCCGTATGTTATATAGCGTTCTCGATTATGAACTTCTAATCGGTGGTACTTCTCAGTTTGAAAGAGTAGACCCGCACCATACCCCTCCAAATATCTCAACGGATTTACGTGATTTGCAAAAATGATCCCTCCGGCACGTGAAAAACCGGAACTTCCGGCACATGCCGGAAAACTTGCACCCATGTTTTTATAAATTTAGTTGGTCTGTCTTGTCACATTAGTTTTGTTTATATATTTTGTATATATATGAATAGAAACATTAAGCATATTTCTAAAAATAGCAACAGTACGCAATTTCTAAAAATAGTAACAATGACGCAATTTCTAAAAATAGCAACAATGACGCAATTTCTAAAAATAGAAAAAATGACGCAAATTATAAAAATAGAAAAAAATGACACAATTTCTAAAAATAGAAACAATGACGCAATTTCTAAAAATAGAAAAAAAATGACGCAATTTCTAAAAATAGCAACAATGACGCAATTTCTAAAAATAGAAAAAAATGACGCAGTTACTAAAAATAGCAACAATGACGCAATTTCTAAAAATAGAAAAAAATGACGCAATTTCTAAAAATAGAAAAAAATGACGCAATTACTAAAAATAGCAACAATGACGCAATTTCTAAAAATAGAAAAAATGACGCAATTTCTAAAAATAGAACAAAAATGACGCAATTTCTAAAAATAGAAAAAATGACGCAATTTCTAAAAATAGGAAAAAATGACGCAAATTCTAAAAATAGCAACAATGACGCAATTTCTAAAAATAGAAAAACATGACGCAATTTCTAAAAATAGAAAAAAAATGAAGCAATTTCTAAAAATAGAAAAAAAAATGACGCAATTTCTAAAAATAGAAAAAAATGACGCAATTTCTAAAAATAGAAAAACATGACGCAATTTCTAAAAATAGAAAAAAATGACGCAATTTCTAAAAATAGAAAAAAAATGACGCAATTTCTAAAAATAGAAACAATGACGCAATTTCTAAAAATAGAAACAATGACGCAATTTCTAAAAATACGAGGGATGTCCGGAAAGTTTATATACATCTTCATTTTTTTATTGTAAAACAATACATACGCTGTACAAATTTTGTCAGCATAAAAATACATATCTAGCGAACACATTTATCAAAAATTACTGAACTGTGACTAACGTTTGTATTTGAAAAGT